ATACCCCACTCTTCTTATCGACCAAGACAAGTCCTCCGGGGACAACTTCATAGATGGCGGGGAGGGTCCACGATGGATAAAAATACCTCACGAGCATCCTCCTCGTAGGGCTAACTCTCAACACCTCTGAATATCAGAGTCCTCTTGATTTCGAAAAGACCGCATCCTCCAAATAGTTCGGAGGCGTCCATCCAGATTGGGGACCATGTGCAGGTCCCTATTATGTACGTAGGACCTGACAATCTCTATTTTGGGTCTGCTGCCTAGCCCAACGATGGGGATCTTGACCCAGCGCTGAGGGCTATAAACACCCTATCACTTGAGAGGGTCAGATAATTATTCTTTAACTCACATACTCTCATACTTGCTAGCACTCTCCCTGAATCTTACTTTAACATCAAAGTATGTTGCAGGTACCCCCACTTCACATCAAACCGTTGCTGGACAAAAAGCTCGAAAGCCTTGTCAAGCCCTTTTGGTCAGGTACAATCAATTATCAATTAAACTAACTTAACATGATTGAAATTATATTTAGTCACACTACGATATATATAACTAATTAATTAACATAATATTAAATAAATGACATGCTTATATTTTTGAAGTTTCTGTATTTAATGTCTTTAAATTTAAAATTATTTTCTTAAATCAATTAATTTTAAGATTTTCTTAACACCGTTAACAAGATTTATTAAATAAAATAAAACTTTTAATTTATTGATATTTATTTAAAAAATAAATATGTTATTTAGTTAAAAAAATAAATTAAATATTTATAAAAAAAGCTAAATAAATAACTGGTCCAGAATCACTTTTGCACGTTATGAAGGAAAAGGTATGAAAATGTGAATAATGCATTGAACCAAAAACACATACCCAAACCACTCACAAATCATTGTTGCGGGTGTTAGGCAACCCTTATCTATCTTGTTCGTAAGGTTACTAGGTTTAGAAGCGCATTTTTTTAAGAAAAAGATGTTTTAATATTAATAGAGAAAAAGAGTTTTAATTTTAATTAGGGGGACTTGCCACAATTTTAACCGTATACCTATGTATCCTCTTAGGAAGAATCAAAGTCTCATTTTGTAGTTCACAGTAGATTGGTGTTTTTTATAGGATTCTGTAGAATTGATTTCAAATTTATCCTTGAACCTTGTCTGGGTTTTGTAAAAGAGTGATCGTAGACGCAATTCGCAGTCAATTTCAATAACAATTCTCCCTAATCATTTTTTCAAAAATATCTTGGGTTTTTTTTTATGTTAGTTGAAAAAATATTTTTTGATTGATTAGCTATATTAAGATGTAGAGTGAGGGGAGTCTGATATAGTCTCCTCATCACGTGGCCAAATATTGATCACGTGACACTCGTAATAAAGGATACGAAGGAAGTCTGATATAGCCTCCCTATTCACGTGACCAGATATTGGCCACGTGTTGCTCGTAGATAAAAATCTTGATGAGTTGCATGGATTTAATATTTTTTGTAGAATATTGAATTGATTAAATTTACTAATGATGTTTGATTTATATATAAGTGAAATAATTAATATTTTTATTACTTTATAATTGATTTGTTTTATATTTTATAATTTTATTATTTTTTTGTATTTTGATAAGTTGATGAGAAAATTATTATTTTATTTAAATTAAAAATAATAATTAAAAATAATTACTTAATGAAAAGAAAACTAAACTAATTAAATATTTAAATTTTATCAAAAAAATACTAATTCCCAAAGGGTACTAACCAGTAATAAGGAGTATGAGTTGCAATTTTATTCAAGGTCCAAAATCAAAATATCATTAATTCTAATTCTAAAAAATATAAAAAAAGTGGAAAAACAATTTATGCAATGTTGCAAGTGCAACGTAAAGGGAAAATGGTGCAGCCCTGTTTTGTATGCTTCAAACCATGGCCAAAATAAATAGCCAATATGTATCAAGCAAAAGAAAAATGAAAAAAAAAGTAATAACACATAGTATTAGAAAGAGAACGAAACAATACACATGCATAATCTCTTTCTTATCTCTTCTGGATGCTCTTTTTTCACCAGTACCCTTTTCATATTCTTTATTGGATGACACCTTTTGTATTGTAGTTGCTGTAAAAAAAATAAAAATTGCAAGAGATTTGATGGTTAGTGTCAATGATTTTAATTTTTTGAATTTGTGTTTTGTGTAGAAAAATCATGTCAAGATTTTGCATAGAAAGCTGATCAATTTATGAGTTAATCTCTCCATATAATTTTTTTTACAATATAAGACTCACAAGTAAAAATAAGAGTTTAATCTTGCTAAAAAAACAAGTTTGTTATTAGTATAAAAAAATAGTTCATAAGGACGTGTTTGTGAGTATAGTGTATAAGGGTAAGAATGTATGTACAATAATTAAATAATTTTGTGGTGTAAGAAAGTATGTATGAAATGGCTTGTGAGAAATTTGGAGTGTGAGAAAAATTTTAGGGTTATCCTAGTGAATAATTGTAGGTGAAATTGTTGATATAAACAAAATAATTTTAAAGAAACAAAAACAACCATCAAGAATCATCATTTGGTTGAAAAACAAGAACAAACAAATAAAATTAAAAAAAAAAAAATTGAAAACGGGGGGCCTCATATTAAATCATCCAAAAAACAGTTTGAAAAGAAACCTTGAAAAGAGATTGAAAAAATGTATGAAAGTGAAAGTTGAAAATAATGTAAGTGTAGTGAAATTGTGAGAATTGTTGATGATCTAGAAGTGTGAAAAACATGTCTTATTTATAGATAAAAAAACCCATCCAAATTGAAAATAAAAATAAAATTGACCAATCAAAAATTAAGTGTGACACAAATTGACATCAAATGGCCAATAAAAAACACTTATTTAGAAAATGAAATATTTTTTTATATTTATTATAATTTTTAAAAATACCATAATACAAATACGAAAATAATATTTAAATAATAAAAAATGATTTTTTTTATGATGGAAATAAAATTAGTGATGTCAAATAAAATTGGTGATCAATTTATGGTTTTTTTTATCTCTAAGCTCGCTTCTTTACCAGTTGTGCTATGCCATTTGATTTGAGATGAAAAAGATAATTTAAAACATATGAAAGGTGAACATGTATTTCCTATTTAAAAATATAAATAATTTTAAATAAATTATTATATTTTTAAATAGTCTTAAAAACAAATAAAACCCAAAACGTTAGTAATATCCAAAAAAATTTATGAAACTAAATTACAAAAATGAGACGGACAAATTTGAGGTATGACACTAATCAGAAGGGATTGTCAAAACCCACCAGCTTCAAGCCAAGCAGTGGTTAGATGTGAAGTATTGAGTATCTGCAAGACACTCTAATGTCAAAGTGTAGTTCATAGGTAGTGCTAGCAAGTATAAGAGTAAGAATGAGAGATTGAGTATACGCTATTTAGTTAAAAATAATAATTAAATATTTATAAAAAAAAAGTAAATAAATATTTGGTCCATTTCTTAGTAGTGGGAATCACTTTTGCACGTTATGAAGGAAAAGATCTGAAAATGTGAATAATGCATTGAACCAAAAACAGATACCCAAATCACTCACAAATCATCGCTGCGGGTTTGCGCCTGGGATTTTTGCCACTCTCAAATCATCGCTGTTGTTCATTCTTCAACTTTGTAAGCCTTTCTCAATTTCTCAATCCTAATTGTTTTACCTTTTTTATTATTATAAGAAATTCAGTTGTAATTGTATAATGGATCAAAGTTTTTAACATTGAAAACTCGTGAGATTTTGGTGAATCAACTCATTTCAGTTGCTGGTTTGATCCTCTACTTTTGTATTTGCTAGGTTTATTTTTTTCCCCAATTGAAAGAGCTATCATATTTTTATTTCAGTAAAGTTTTATTTCTTAAATTGAGTGTTATTTGATTTGGAGATTGTGATGGGTACTTAATGTTGAAAATAATTCCTTGTGTCGAAGCAGTTTGCTCGAGAGACAAGGGTGTGTCGAAGTAGGTGTAGGTGTCGAAAATGCTACACACATATTTGTGTTAGATTTAGATAAATTTGATTTAGATCTAAAATAGGAAGATTCAATTCAGTACCAAAATCTTTTTATAGTTTTGGGCTTTGGCTTAGGTAGCAAGCTAACCTAAATCTATAAATAGAGGGAGTAATCCCTAATTTTGTAATTAAGTCAATTAATTGTAATCATAGAATATGCAGTTGCAATTGATTAATAAAGTTTTCCACGAGAAACTCTGTAGAATTTTCTTTTTTTTCTTTTCTCATAATTCATTGTCATTGTGTGGTGATATCAATCTTGTTCATCAAGATTGGTAGAAATTCATCATAGATATTTGGTGGATTTCCAACGGTCAAACTAGAGTTCAATTATGCAAAGGAAAATAAATCGTGATGATTTTAAGATTTTGATGCATTCTTAGGAATAGGATAGACTACTTAGTACTTAGTACAACTCATTGACTTAATTTTAAGACTGCTGTGATGTGTTGTTTGAACAATTTCAGATAAAGCTGCTTCATTTGTATCTATCCTTTTAATGGCCTTTAGAGTAGTCAATCCCGGATAGCGACCTGGTCTACCCCAAAAATGGGATAGCGGGATAGCCGCTATTTGATCATTTTTTGAATAAATTACTTGGAAAATAATTATAAACATACGAAGTGAGAGAGGTGACGGAGGAACTTGTGATTTTTCTTTGGGACGAATGAAGTGCAGAAACGGCGGCCGCTATAGTGTTATGCACCGCTAAGGCTCTTCCCATCTGGCCGGCATCCGCTCTGCTCTGCTATAGCGGGATATCACCGCTATTTGCTGCTATTGACTACTCTGCCTCACATGCTATTTTCCATTGATCATTTCTTCCACTGATTAAAGATTTGTGTTTATCTTCTTGATTTCTGGTTCTGAAATTTATGGTAAGATAGATTTGGTCTGTTAAAATTTTACTGGCATGTTTGTTGAGTTATATGGCCATGTCATGTGCAGCAAAGCACAAAAATGGAAGGGACTGTTTTCGCTCCGGCATTGGAAGGAATAAAGAATGTTAAGTCTGAACAGGGAGAGATTCTGTCACAGCCTTTCTTGGAAGTGTGCAAGCAGATACTTCCTGTTATAGGTACATGCTCTAGATCGTTTACTTTGTTATTGTTGCAAGGCAAGGATAGTGAAAGTAAAACTTGTTTATTTGACATTTGCATGTGTTTTATTTTGTGAGGGAACATAGAATGGTCCTTTTGAATAATCAAATGTATGTTAGAAATACTGTATCTACCATAAATTTGTTCTAATATTGCAAATCAAGTCTATGCAGCATTGAAGTCTGTAACTAAGCAGTCACTACCTGCTTCTGTTAAGACAATTGCATCTTTATTGAGCCAGTCCCTTTACCTTACTCCTTATATTTGACTCATACTAGTAATTTTAATGTCAGGTTCCTCAGATGATTGTATGGTATGTTTCAGTGTTTAAATTTGACTCTTTTTTAGTAATTATATTTGGAAATTGTATATGCAATATCACTGCATTTGAGACGCTTTCTCTTTTTATTCATTAGCAATATGTGAACACTTTGCAGACTGTTTTTGTCTCTTTTTGTTCTGTAAAAGTAGTTTGTCACAATCTAAATTCTTCAACTTTAACATGTAAAACATGATAGATTGCAAATCATTTTGCTGCAATTTGATGCTTGGTCTTTGTCTCAACTGTACTATAATATGAGTGCTTGTTCCGTTATTGGCTGAACTAGTGTTTTTCTAATGGCAGATAAGTTTGGAGCTGCTATGACCCTTGTTAAATCTGACATAGGTGGCAATATATCGGTATGTTTTGTCACCTGTTTCTATCATGTCTATTTTTTATATGCGTGTTATCATATCACTCATATGACTGCTTGCAGCTTTAAATCAATGTAATGTTTTTTCTTAAATGAACATGCCATGGTTATATGGCTTTGCCATACATTGAGGTATAAATTGGGTTTAGATTCATTTTTCAAATTCATGTGTAGCTGGCTTAAATATAATTATGCTCTATGTTGGAAATTTCACCTTCACTTCAGTCCGCCCCTAGTCACCAAATTGTGGCATTTGGGTTGCCTTCATTGCAGCCTCCAACACCTTCGGTGTGTTGGGTGTGAAAGGTTAGATTTAGTTCCACATTGTCTAGATATATGGTTTGTGTAGTGCTTATAAAGTTTGGGTAGCCCTCACCTTATAAGCTGGTTTTGTAAGGTTGAATAAGCCCTACCCAAATTCTAAGGTGGCATCAAATTCTATGCAAGATCTGTTGTTGGGCTTCCCTCCCGCTCTGTCCACGATTCAAGCTCATTGGGGCCTGAGCGTGCGGGGGGGTGTTGGAATTCTAACCGTCTAATTGCGGCATTTGGGGCTGCCTTCTTTGCAATTTCCAATGCCTTCATCATGTTGGGTGTGAAGGGGTGGATTTAGTCTCACATTTCCTAGAGATATGGCCTATGTATGGTTTATAAAGCTTGGACCACCCTCACCTTATAAGTCGGTTTTGTAAGATTGAGTTAGGCCTAACCCAAATTCTAAGACTTTACGTTTTATACAACTTTTGGTAAGTTGTACGTGCCATAAGTAAATACTATTTGATTCAATGATTCAGATGCGCTATGTATTCTTACTCTATACTATGTTGACTTTCATGGCAGAGATTGGAATCTAAATATTCATCTAGTCCAACCAAATTCAACTACCTGTATAGTTTGGTACAAGTAGAGGTTGAAACTAAAACTGCCAAGTCATCATCCAGTTGTACCAATGGGCTTCTTTGGCTTACGAGGTAATGAATGCCATCCAATTACTGCTTAACTTGTAACTCTATCTGGAATGACATTCTCATTTCTCGTTTTATAGAAAACGATTTCTTGACATTGTAATATTCCAAGCAGAGTCTTTTTTTTTGCATGAGTAAACGAACCGTCAAAATATCGATCAGGAAAAAAGGGTATCATCATGATATTCATTAGACTCCAAAATAATTATTTTAGCGAGAAATAAGATAATATAAGTAATATCAAGATACATGCTTTTTAAAATTTCGGGCCAAAATGCAATTTGATATTTGACATAATGAATATTGATTCTATAAAGATCAGGAATGTATGCAAATATGCAAGTTTACTACGAGTGAATTTTTATCATTGCACATCTGCCATGATATTCTTCAATAACCTTTTTTGTGTGGCAACATTTACCAAGCCTTGCTCATTCTTATAAACAATCTAAAGCCCCAACTTCTCATTTGTTCTGATTGATGCACTTTTCAAGATGATAAGGAAGATTATATTAATTTTATAATCTTTCAGGAGCTTCAATTATAAAGCATTTAATTTTTCTTTAATTTTCTTTGAACTTCTGAAGCTCTGCATAATTCATAGTTTACTAATGTTTATCTCGTTGTCAGAGAGCCTCAACAAACACTTAACTATTTCCTTTATGTTGTTTACGTTTATTTCTCTGACCTACAAATTCTTCAGAGCAATGGATTTCTTGGTGGCACTTTTCCGGAACTTAATTGAGCATACAGACTGGTCAATGTCACAAGCATGTACAGATTCCTATAACAAGACTCTAAAGAAGTGGCATGGATGGCTCGCTAGTTCAAGCTTTGCTGTAATGGATTTGTTTTCTATTTTAAAGAGTTTTCATGTAGTATATGCCATATGGTAACATACTTTTTTTAACAATAAATACTTCATCTACAGGTAGCGATGAAGCTTGCTCCTGATAGGAAGAAATTCATGGACGTGATACAGGGAGGCGGCGATGTTAATGCTGACATAGAGAAATTTTGTACCACCTTTTCTCCTTTCCTCGAAGAGAATCACAAGTTTCTGGTAAATTTTGTTGTTAAAGAAATCCTATTTATATAGTGATAGCAGTTCCGCGATAACGATATTAATTTCTTAAAGGATCTTGGAACTTAGAAGCTTGTTGTTTTGGCGCAGGCTCGATTTGGCTTGGATGAACTGAAGGCTTCATGAAGCATGGATTCAGTGTCTATTGATGAATGTCTCTTGCATGCTCACCCTCTTTTTTGGTTGTGTGTTTATGTTTATGCACCATGTTTCTCTTTTGGCATCCAAAATAATAAACATGATAACAAAAAAATTCAATGACTTATAGTGTTGTTTACCTTACAAATGACTTGTTTTCTGCTTGGTGGTATGCAATGTTGTGACATATGCAACTTTGTTTGGCATGAAGTAAATTTATTGAAATATAGTTTTGCATGTGGTTAATTGATTATATTTAAATTTGACGTGATAAAAAGTTCAAAATTTGAATCTGATTTGCTACTTGGACTTATTTTTAGTACCCAAATGTATGCTCAAGGAGATAAATAAAACATGACCAAAAATTATTTCTGTCAAATGTTAACTCTCAAATTGTCTTGAACAATTCGTTTTTCATTAAAGTTGGTTAATTATTTGAGTTCAATTATTTAATTTTAAATCAGCCACCTGACATATTTATAAATAGATTAATAAATTAATAAAATTTTAAAGATATTTTAGGGTATCATCAGACTTTATCTCATCATTTTTCAATTAAAAAAAATACATTTACATGTATGATTATTATTATTATTATTATTTAAATAAAAATATAATGACTATCCATTGTGATCTTCTCCGTTACGAGAGATTAGATTGCGGAAAAAAATCTTTTGAGACACATGAACTAATGTTGAAATAAAGAAATTTAGAAAAACTTGCAGAGTAGGCCAAACTCTTAAAAGAAAATGAAATAAGATTCTTTAAAGACTGGCAAAGGAAAAGAAAAATGGAAGAAGAAGTGGCATTAGGATGGTGCTAGCATGAAATCAAAAGTCAAGGATAGGCAAGCAAGAACTCTTAAAAGAAAATGAAATAAGATTCTTCAAAGACTGGCAAAGGAAAAGAAAAGTGGAAGAAGAAGTCGCATTAGGATGGTGCTAGTATGAAACCAAAAGTCAAGGATAGGCAAGCAAGAATGATATCTCGCATAACAATAAGAGACTAAATATGAAAGATGTGCAATGCTATTGATGTTAAAAACTTGATCATTATGCTAGAGACCGTCACTTCAACAAAGAAGCCAATGGTAATGACAAGCACATTTTGCACGTGGAGGAAATAGTGATTCTGAGGAGTTTATTTTGATGGCCAACCCACACTTAACTCGAGACAAAGTCAATGTGTGATATTTTGATACTGGGTGCATCAATCACATGACAAGTAACAAAAGCTGATTTATCAAGCTTGACTTAATAAGAAGATTCATTAGATTTACAAATAATAACATGGTTACCTCAGAAGGAATGACAAACATTCTTGTGAATAAGGATGGACATGAAACAGTCATAAATGACGTTCTGTATGTTTCTTTAATGGCAGATAATATATAAGTTTAGGTTGCTTCTTGACAAGAACTATTCTATAAAGTTAGAAGATAAGGAGTGTAAAGTGTTTGATACAAGTTTCAATCTAATTCTGAAAACACCCATATTAAACTACATAAAATTCAAGCAACTTTCATGTTTACATTTTCCATTTTGATTGAGAAATGAGGAAGTTACAAATTTGAACAATGGTGATGAATTTTATGGCACGAGGAAGAAGATGAAGTTGTCATCAGGAATGAGTTTGTAATATATTTATTGATTTGTGTATTAAACACTGGATGTATAATCACCAAAGTGGTAGAAAGTGTGAGCGTAAGAATTAGAACTATAAGGACCTGGGTTTGAGCCGCCCCAGTGGTACCCCCTTTTGTTTTTTCATATTTTATTTTTACAGATCTTGTGCAATCCCAGTTCCAGCGCCTATGATGCACCTCATCTTCCAACCATTTGATCTCTATCTAGCCAGACCAACATGCCACAATGCTTCCTCATGGTGAACCTCAAAGGGCCTCCCCTACTGGATACAAAAATATACGTTGGGCTCACTGTAATGGACCTGAATTTTTGCTATGTTCTCACCCCTCCTTTCACTTTCACATATAGGCCCAAAACATTCTTTTTTCTTATTTTATTTAATTATTTTTGTTTAAACATTTTTATTTAATATCATAAAATCACAAAAATATTAGATTTAGATTTTTATTTAATTAAACTAATTTTTGACATAAAAATTAATTTATTTTAATCACCTCTTTATTTTATTAATTAGAACTAGAGTTTTCATTATTATTTTTACACATTGAAATATTTTCTTAAACAAAACTAAAAAATTATTTTCCTAAAATATTTAGAACATTTTAGGGTTTAATTTATTTTCATAAATAAATTAATTTATCATACTTTTCTTTTAACCAATTTGTAAATACTTAGAATTAGATTTAAATTTCTAATTTTTTTTCATTTCAAACTCTTTTTCTCATATAAAAACAAACAAGAATATTTTTTCTTAAAATATTTAGAAACTTTTTTAGGGTTTATTCTTAGCCATTTCCCCATCTTTGGTCATCTATTCACTCTTTTACATTATTTTGTGATTATGCAATTGCTGTCAAAATTTGTAATAGTAATTTAAAGTTTATTGCTTTCATCCCCCATCCATGAACTTGTACCCCCATCCCCTAAAGCGTTGTAATAACATATAACATTTAAATTCTGCAATTTACCGCTTTCCTTATTATTGCTAGTAATTATGACTTGTATGACAAGATAAAACCAATCTTAGAAAACCCTAAATTCAAAGACAAAAACACATTCACACATGCACCTCTAGGGTACATCCCACTTGTTGCCTTCAATAAAACAGTCATGTCCCTCGAACGTGGGATACTTTAGCAATGACCTTCGAATACAAGATCGTAGTCCCTCGATGACCCTTCGATAATTGCCTTCGGTAAACGATCTTAGACCCTTACAATAAATTACTAAGGTATCCTACAATGTTGCCTTCTATGACTGTACGATGACCCACGCCTGTCCCTTCACATCCAATGATAGGGCTTCTTACCAATCAATGGTAAGATAGCAATATCTATAGGAGGAGGAAAAGAACAAAGACTTTTTGAGTAGGTAGAACGTTCATAGTTGCTTGCTCACAAATAGAACCATCTTCACACTCACACTTTCAAAATATATTTTCAAAGACAAACATCTCTTTAAACTATTTTCAAAACCAACACTTTGTATACATTCTCGCCGAAACAAGAATCATTACAAAGTTTGCCGAAACAAAGACGTTTTCAAAATATTTTCAAACTTACACAAAACACAAAAACATTTATAAAGCATTTCAAAGTGAGCTAGTAACTAAGAGCCCGTAGAAAACTACAAATGAAAAGGGTGCTAACACCTTCCCTTTTCATAACCTACCCCCCGAACTCAAGAAAATTCTCAAAAGGTCTTTCCTATTCTTTTCACCCTTTCCTTTATTGGATAAAAGAAAAGCCGATGGCAACTCTTACTATCTGCAACAATTGCGATAAAACACAAAACACCTAAATCAGTTCTCCTACCGTATTACAGTCCTTCATAAGTGGGAATCCATTTGCGCTTGGGATCGCCTTATGGTAAAATGATGCGCTTTATTACCAAGTCTCCAATATGATATACTCGAGGCTTGATCTTCTTGTTGAAAGCCTTGATCATACATTTTTGATACATCTGACCATGACAGCCAGCAGCCAGTCTCTTCTAGTCAATTAAATTCAGTTGATTCAGCCTAGTCTAAATCCACTCATCTTCGTCTAAGTCCGCTTCTTTCATAATCCTTAGAGAGGGAATCTGAACTTTGACGGACATGACGACTTCCATGCCATAGACTAAAGAGAATGGGGTTGCCCCAGTTGATGTTCATGCCGAAGTAAGGTAACCATGAAGGGAAAACCGTAGAATCTCATTCCAGTCTTCATAGGTTACCACCATCTTTTGCACAATCTTCTTTATGTTTTTGTTGGCAGCTTCCATTGTGTCATTCATATTAGGTCTGTATGGAGAAGAATTATGATGCTTGATCTTGAACTACGTGCAGAGTTCAGTAATCATAGCATTGTTGAGGTTGGTTCCATTCTCAGTGATAATCCTTGCAGGGATGCCGTACCGACATATGAGGTTATGCATGATAAACTGGGCTACAACATTCTTAGTGACTGAGGCAAATGAAGCTGCTTCAACCCATTTGGTAAAGTAATCAATAGCGACGAGAATGAAACGATGTCCATTAGAGGTAGTAGGCTTGACCTCTCCAATCATATTATTGCCTCACATTGCAAATGGCCACGGAGCAGTCATGACATTTAGAGGTATTGGAGGTACACGAACTTTGTCAGCATAAATCTGGCACTTATAGCAAGTCCTCGAGTGTTGATGACAATCAGTTTCCATGGTCGACCAATAGTAACTAGCCCTCAGAATCTTCTTGCCCATAGTGTGTCCGCTAGAGCGTGTTCCAAAGATACCGTTATGTATATCCTCCATGATTTCCTCTACCTCCTTATTATCCACACAACATAGCAGAGTTAAATCATGGTTGCGTTTGTACATAATCCTATTGCTTAGGAAGAACTTGGCCGAGAACCTCCACATGAATTTCTTATCATTAATTGATGCGCCTCCAGGATACTCTTGAGCTTCAAGATATCTTTTAACCTCATGAAACCAAGGCTTCTCCTCGTCAGTATCAATCTCACAACAGTGCGTCGATTCACCAAATATTTCTATAATAATTCTGGAAGCTTCATTATCCCAATTGACCTAGAACATAAATGACATAGTTGCTAAGGCGTCTGCCAACTGGTTCTCCTCCCTTGGAATATGCTCAAAGGTGACGTCTTCAAAGTACGAGATCAAGGTTAGCACAAGTTATTTGTAAGGGATCAGATTTGGATGTTTAGTATCCCACTCTCCTTTAACTTTATTGATTACTAGAGCCGAATCCCCGTATACGCTTAAGAATATAATTCTTAGTTCAATAGCAACCTTAAGACTATAGTCCATCAGGATCCTTGTTCAGGTCCTTCATACGGTCCAAGCTTTTCATAGTTA